GTCCCAAGGTCACTTGCAGCAAGGATTGGCCATGTGAATTCTGACCAAAAACATACAGGCAAAACTACTGCTGAGAGAACTTCAGAGAAAGCTTTTGTTTTGCTGATAAAAGGAAAAAGAGGCACTAATATACTGTAGTTCCTTACTATTTCCTCCTTTCTTGAGTATGGATGTAATTTCTTTAGCTGGGAGACCCATCTTATGACTGAAGGTATACCAAGAGAATTACAAATACAGTATCTCTGATGTTGTGAATGTGCTGAGTGAAGGTCGGCCATGCCTACCTCCAGACTCCTTATGTGAAAAAAATAACCTCCATTTAAACCACTATAATCTGGCTTTCCTTGGGACTGAACTTTTGCCTGTTTATTGAGCACTATGTTTTTATTTGTATTTTTAAATTCATATATATAATTTAAAACTTAAATATAAAGCCATTGCTTGTGTTGGGGATAACCATGTTTCTAAGTAAATGATGATGATACTGATACTTCTTGATTTATTAATTGACAATTATCTGTTGGTTTTGCTAAAATGGAGAAAATTTTCATTTTTTTATGTTTCCTATCATATCCCATCTCCTATTTATATTCTTCTAAATAATTATTTTGGGTCAAAGCTAATGCTGCTTATTTATTATGACTATGTTCATATTATTTACAGCTGGGGAAAATATACTTGGATCATGTTTCTTTTCTTATATAAATTTTTTCTCAAAATTAATTTCCTTGGGTTATTTTTACTTAATTTTCAATGTTAAATTTAAATCTCCTCTAAGAGCCTTAAAAATACAGGTAATCTAATAATTCATTTTTGTTTTAGAGACATCCTTTATTTTGTTTTGAACTGGCTGCTCAAAAGGCTGGACAGATAACCTATTTCCTGGACTTTTCCTTCAGTACTATTCTTAGAATTTCCTTTGTGTTTCTTCTTTGTTGGATCCTTTATTTCTTAGAGCCCATACTTTTCTGTTTTTTCGTTTGTTTCACTCACTTTAATGGAGCATCTTTCAGTACCTTCTTGAGGATGTACCAGAAATAACTGTTAAATCTCGATGTAGATATTATGTACTGTCAGGCTTTTGAAGGTACAATTCCGTTGTCTTTTAGCATCCATCATTCCTATTGAGTAGTGCTGTAACATTCTAGTTTCTAATCCTTTGTGTTTGGATTATCCTTCTCTTTTTGGAATCTTTTTCATTTGTATTTTCCACAGTGATGTGAAATCTTGATGTGGATCTTTTCTCCTTCATTATGGTAGGCTCCATGTGTGGGCCCTTTCAATCTTTAAAGTCATGTCCTTAAGTTCTCACTGTGGAACTTTACATTACTATCTGCTCTAGAAATCTGAAAGCACAGACAAACTATCAACTAGTCAGTCTTTTGATTCACTCTTAGATAAAGAGTAAACTTTTAGCACATTTCCCAGTTGTCTGAGTCAAATGGGAGTCTTCTGCAGGCTTTAAACTAATCTATTTCCTGCCCTAATCCCACCCTCTGACTGTAGAAGTTCGAGTAACCTCTAACTCTTCAGCCTTTTCTGCTTTATGTGTGTGTGTGTGTGTGTGTGTGTGTATTCAAACTGAATTGTTTTTCTTAAGTAATAGTATAGTCAGTCTTCAGTACCTATGGGTTCTGTATTTACAGATGCAACCAACAGTGGAATAAAAAAACTTGAAAAAATTGTGCCTGTACCAAACACATACTTTTTCTTGACATTATTTCCCAAATAATGCAATATAGTAACTATTTCCATAGCATTTACAGTGTGTTAAGTATTATAATCCAGAAATCATTTAAAGTATAGGGGGAAGATGTGAGTAAATATGATGTTTTATTTAAGGAAATTAAGTATCCTTGGATTTTTGGTATCTGCAGGGGGTCCATGGATATTGGGATGTGACTATACTAGTGAAAAACTCAGCAAGACAGCCCTCTTCCATGCAGTCATTCATGGATCTAGAGCGACAGTGGTACTTTGTCTTTAACATGTGGCCTCTAAGAAGGTTACCCTAGGTTTCCACTCCAGCCAGAAGGGGAAAAGAAGATGGAGGAGTATGCCAAGGAGAGATTTTTGAGCCAGTCCTGGAAACAGAACATGTCACTTCTCAAATCCCATCCTCTAGAGCTCATGCCTAACTGCAAAAAAGAAAACATAAGCTGGGTATCTGCTTGGGAAGAAGATGAGAAGGATTTTAATGAGCAGCTGGCAGTCTCTGTCACTTCAGCATTTTCTAAAGTAAAATGATGTGAGCACTCAGCTTTCGCTAAACTGGGTCAATTACTGCTTTTCTCTTGGCTGTTCAGATCCTAGAAATTTGTCAACATCTAATATATTTTTTCTTGTTTCCTTGACTGTTATTTCTGTATTTGTAGGTTTGGGCTTTTCTTATTCCTTTACTACCATTTTAGTGGAATTCTGGTGGAAGCAAAGGTAAAACTTCTGGGTATAATGAAATGGGCAAAGGAAAACATCTCTGAGGTTCATATGGGTTTTTTGGCTGTGAATTTTCTATCCCCAAATAATTTTTGGAAATATGAAAGTTATGAGAGTGAGTGAAAAGTTATAAGCACTAACATAAAAAAATGTCTTTCATATATTACATAAAAATAGAACATTTCAGAAGTGTGATTGATAGTGTGCTGTGACATTTGAATATGTTTATAAAGTAGTTTTTTGGAAGGACATAATTCAAAATTTAATGCTCATTATTTATAAGGGTTGGGACTGAAAAATGGTGGAGATCTTGGGGAGGTTTTCACCTTCAGTTGTATATACTTCAGTGATATTTGAATATTTTACATTTAGCGTGTGTTTGTGCTAAAAGCATGTTAACTTTTGTCACCAAAGAAAAGAACAAATAAAGGAATAGTCAAGCCAAGCCAAATGCATTGGAGAAGTTAAGTAAAAATGTCTACTGAATTTGGGAATTAGGAGATTATTCTTAGTGTTGTGGGATCAGAAGTGATCACAGCAAAGAATATAGAATATCAGGAAGTAAACATAGTTTAGTTTGTTTGTTTGTTTGTTTTTTGCCGGGGATTGAACTCCGGACCTTGCGCTTGCAAGGCAGGCAGCAGAACCACTGAGCTAAATCCCCGGCCATAGTTTTTTTTTTAAAGACTATTATAGTGATTAGAGGATCATGAGAATTAAGGAGGCAGAATCTGAAGTTTCGTGGGTGAATTTTCTCCCCTATAGCGGGTGGAGGAAGGATCCAGGAGAAAGGGAGGAATACAGATGGAGCATTACTTCAAGGAGAATAATTTCAGAACTTTCCTCATTTCTCCATTGATGATTTAACTCCTTTGAAAGCTTAAAAATAACTAGGTAAATTTGTGTTCACCAGAACCAATGTGGTAGAGCCCCAAGCTTCAGGTGAGAGGTCACTGATTAGATGACCTTGGAAGCACTTCCAATCCTCACTTCTACACATCCAACTTATCTGAGTTGATTTTGCTAAGCATGAACTAAACAGAAACAAATACTCTGTTTCAGTACCTTCAATATGGCTTGATCTAGGAATCCAGGCTTATTAGTGAGAGAGATTAAAATGGAATTTTTTTTTCTTTTGAGGAGCAAAGCATTCTGTCAGTATTGCATCACAGAATCTGACAGAGTTAGCACTTCCTATAATCCCTTATTAGGACTTTTTTTTTTTTT